CACACATACCATTGGGAGACCCTCCATTTTTCTCTTGAGCTCTGTTGCAGAATGGTGATGCAGCTCACCAGTGGCCGGCAGTGCCTCATCAGTGGCCGGCAAGGCTTTATCCTTGGCTGGCAGTGCACACTCATGGCCGGCAGGTGGCCGACAGCAGGTTCTTATGGCCGGCAGGCCACTGGTGAATTCCTCAACATGGAATTGGTAAGGTTCAGTATAAGGTTCTTGGAGACCCCCTGCAAACAGAGCCTCTCAAGAGCAAACCAGAAGGTGTTTCGAGGCGACAACCGAGTGCATGCATCTTCTCATTCCCAAGGCAGAGCTGAGGCAACCTAGTTTAAATAGCATACATGTTTAGTTGGTTTTGTAATTTATTAATTAGTTTGTTAATTAATTAAGTGTTGTAATAATTAAGTAGCTTAGCTTAGCTATTTCTTTATTCGATTGGTTTGTAATAATTAGTCTAATTAGTTTAATTAGATTAGTTGCTTAGCTTAGTTTAGTGTAGCTTAGCTATTATTTATTCGGATCCTCCTTCGAGAGGGCACAATGTTGTAATAAGTGTGTGTGTGTGTGTGTACATGTCTTCCAACTTCACTTCTTTCTCCCTTTTATTTAACCGCTTTTGATGGTTAGATTAGGGCACGTTTAATTAGCATATCTTATGCGTGCATGTTTGCATCATTCATTTGTATTGCATGCACTGGGCTCGGCGCATCATTCAAACTGTATCGTATTTCAATACACTTACTTGAATACATGTTTCAAAGAATGTTATCAAGTGTCGCATTCATATGCCATCTTAGATAGCCGAGCCTATTTGGTTGCATTTTACATGTGTTATATTAGGCATTTTAACATAGTTAGGATCATGTATTGATTTCTAACAAGTTTTCTGTTTTGGCTCGGAGTACATTGTAAGTGGCTATAGTATCCTTGCATAGGTGTGAGTGTTGCTATGTTAGCGTGTTTGCCATGAGGCTATTTGCTTAAATGATTAACTGCATGAATGCCTGTGGGTAAAGGCTTTATTGCCTGAATTGGAACAACTCGATAATTGTGAGTTTTAAGCCCACTTTACGAAGTGGCAAAATCATGTTTTAAGCCCACTTTGAGGGTGGCAAATCCGCGCTTTAGCCTACTTGCGAGTAGCATTTTCAAACCATTTTTGAAAAACAAACATGAGTTGTTTTGTTCCAATTCTCGTGATTTAGTCTATACTTATATGTTATGCGCATCACATAGTAAGTTAGCTAATAACCGGAATAAGAACACATGTGTTTATAAAAACAACATATCATGCTTAGTAGAGGCTAATCCTTTGATCGGGGGAGCAGGGGTGCTCATTTCAGGACCTTCCCCTCTCGTATCCAAGTTCTCGAGCCGAGGCAACTTTGGTGATAACGGACACGTAGCCTTTGGCACGAGTCAGGGTTTCCTAAATTTTTTAAAAATAAAATATTTAGGTGGCGACTCTGTAATCTGGCAAAGCAGTCCATGTTTGGCGCTTTTTGATTCAAAATTGATTTTTCAAAACCAATTGCCAGATTTGGACTCTTTGATGTTTATCAGTCTCACATTGCACTTTGCGATATTAGATTCAGAACCGTGATAGGAGTCCGAACTGTAGGACGACCAATTCACACCCTCTCCGAAAAGGGGGTGCGCGGAGAAAGTCGGGTGCTACAGCCACTCACTAATTTAAAATAATAAAAAAGACTGATAAATTTATTACTAAATAAAAATTAATTGATAATAATCATTGACAAAATTATCATTGATACCAAAATATATATATATATATATTATTCTAGCAAAATATTTGCCACATGCGCGAAACAAAAATGTGAGTCACACATGATTCCAACCCTTCCACTCCCACTCCCACTCCCACTCCCACTTCCACTCCCACTACCATCGATTCAACCGAACCACTCTCACACTACCTATCGATTTCAAATCCTTACATTCTCAGGCGATATTTCGATTAAATCTCCACCAGTTTGAAACCACATTCTGAAGAAATCTCAGCCGTCATTCTCGACCGTCGGCTGAAACATTTCCATTCTCAGGCGATTCGAACAACGAACTCGATAACTCAGGCTATTCAAATGAAAATTCTGACCAAACATGCCTGTAAAATGTAAAGAACTCAAATCCTAACTTCTCTCCCTAGTCAAACACATTTTCGAAACCCCTAGAAGTTGATATTCATTTTTAATGTTAGAAAGGTAAATATATAATCCTTGAGTTTGCAAATATGTAGATATGGTTCAATTACCACTTGCAAATTTCAACTATATATGGGCTTTATCTTATTTACGTAGACTTATTTACTTAAAAAATTTGACTAATAAATTTAAAGGCGTAAGCAAAATTTAAACCTAAGATGTTAGGTCTCAAAAATAGACTGATAAATTTATTATTGAATAAAAATTAACTGATAATAATCACTGACACTCACTGATATTATTCCAACAAAATATTTGCCACATGCGCGAAACAAAAGTGTGAGTCACCAGTGATTCAAACCCTTCCACTCCCACTCCGACTCTCATTACCATCGATTGAACCGAACCACTTCCACATTGCTTATCAATTTCAAATCCTTACATTCTCAGGCCATATTCTGATTAAATCTCCACCAGTTTGAAACCACATTCTCAGGCATCATTCTTCACCGTCGGCTGAAACCTTTCCATTCTCAGGCAATTCGAACAAAAATTCTGACCAAACATGCCTGTAAAACATAAGGAACTCAAACCCTAACTTCTCTCCCTAGTCAAACACATTTTCGAAACCCCTAGATGTTGATTTTATTTTTAATGTTATAAAGGTAAATATATAGTCCTTGAGTTTGCAAATATGTAGATATGGTTCGATTACCACTTGCAAATTTCAACTATACTAGGGCATTTTCAGAAAATAAAATGTGACATCCACACCTACATAACTTCATACTTTGCTTTATATAATAGATATATAGTGAAATATATGTAGTGTTTGTTCTTCAAGTGATAAGGGTGTTGGTTTTAAAGTTCAAGATTAGGTTTAAATCTTGTACACTTCACTTTATAAATATATATACTTTTTCATTTTTAATATAAAAAAATTTACTTAACAAAAGAAGAGAGTAAGTTTCAAGAGACTAAAGTGAATTGTTCACATACATAATTGTTACACAGGAAAGCAACCCAAGAGGGGGGTGAATTGGGTAATTAAAAGTTTGAACAGAAAATAGATTTTAAATAACTAAATGAGCAAATGCAGCAAGTATTTAATACACATAAAATAAAGGAGAGGAAGAGTAGAGCTCAGACACAAAGATTTATAGTGGTTCGGCTTATCTGCCTACATCCACTCCTCAAGAAACCTTATTGAGAATTTCTTCACTATAAATCAAATAAATGCACCATCAAGCTTCACCTAGCTTGTGGATTTTTACAAGGACTTACTTCAATCTGTTGAGGACCTTCCAACTAAATGCCTCATTATAAGGAACAAGAAAAAGAGGTACAACTGTCCTCTTTTACAAATATTATCTCTCAAAAAATGGATATGAAAGTGTAAGCTCACAAATAATATAAGACTTACTCAGATGTGAAAATGGAAGTACAATGGAATATATTAAAAGCTCTTGACTGCTTTTGAATGCTCTAGGTTTGTTGTGTTGAAGAAGTGTATGGATCGAACAATGAGAGCTTCATCTTTATAGCATTAATGGCTTCTAGTTGTTTGCGAGAGGAGTTTTGAATCTTCTAGCCATTGGAGCAAATTATGGAATATATCTTCCAGTTGTGTTTGATCAGAGTATAGACAAAGCAGACTGTAGGCAGGTCTTGGGAAGATAAGGTTTATTAAATGCACAAGCTTTTATTTAATGCTCAACCTCATTAGTCAACATCTTGGAGAAGATAAGGTGTCAGAAGATCTGCTCAGGGGTCAGAAAAGATGACATATTGTGTACATGGATTAGAAAAAGTGGCTGAGAAATGATTTGTGACAGTTTGGATCTGATTTGGTAGGTGGGATTTTTTAAACCCAGATTTACAAGTGTCGACCTCTGCAGATTGGGTGTCGACCCTTTGCTTCCTTCTTTTCTCTGAGCTAAGTTCTAGGTTTTCCTGGTGTCGACTCTTATCATTCTTGGTGTCAACCCTTGTTGCTGGATTGCATTCTAAAATTTAGTGTCTACTCTTGTTGTTCTTGGTGTTGACCCTTACTGTTGGATTGCATTCTAAAATTTAGTGTTGACCCTTGTTGTTCTAGGTGTCAACCCTTGCTGCTGGATTGCACACTGAAATTTAGTGTCGACCCTTGCTTCTAGAACACTTAGACATTTAATGTTTGATTGCTTCTTTCCAACAATGGTAAATTTATCACTCTTACAAAAAAATAATCCACCAACTCATCCAAACCAACTAGTGATAAATTTACCACTTTATAAAATACCAAAAACAGCAACTATATTTAACCAAAATCAAAGAATATAAATCTGTGAAACTTTATCTTGTAAAAACATCAACAAAAAATATAATTTCCGTTCAAAACATTCCTCAATCATCCAATGCAACTACCGAAATGATATATCTTTCCAAAAATACTTAGTCATTCAATGCAAGTAACACCTCTCAACTCTCCACAAAGTAATTCAAATTAAAATCAATACAACTAAAGCAAAGCTTCTTTACATGTTTTCCGATTATGAGTTCCCATCTTTTCACACCTACTGCACCTAATTCTCTTGATTTCACCCTTAGAAAGTATTCTATCTGTTCTTGGACGTTCAACCGGTCTCTTACAAAGAGGAGGTAAAACAACGTCATCATCAACAACTATATTTGCTTCTACATGCTCGGAATTGGATAGATAGAATGCGGATAAGAATCACAATAACTATGAACACGGTAGTCATTATCAAGAAAACAATTCAAATCCTTCTCACTCCTCTTTATAGCGCAAAAACCATGTTTGCAAGGAAACAAATCAATTTCCCACAATCAACAATAATAAGAACGTTTCCCAATATCAACCATAACTGAATGATCTAATTGGATTTCATAAATGTCATCGTTACATTTCTTAACTATCCATGCCTTTGTATCATTAAAATCTTCTTCCAATTTTTTCTCTACAAAAGGACAAACAGTACGATTCCACTTATTCCCAACTTCTCTCCTTTTTGAAAATTGCTCCATTAGTTTCACTCGTATAGCATCAATAAGACTAATTGAAAACAAATGGCACTCATCCCTAATCCATAAATTAAAAGATTTCGTAACATTTGTGCACATTTCACCATACCTCTTGCCTTGAAAATAAGCGTTACACCAACACTCATTAGGCAAATCCTCAAGAAACTTTTAAACACTACTACCACAACGACCCTTAAATTCTTCAAATAACTCATTAAACAACTCAATAGTAGGAATATATGCACATTTACTAAAAAGAGTAAGCAAATACTCTTTAGATTCATGACTCTTCATCGACAAATAAGTCTTCAAGTTTGTCTTCAAATGCATTAGACAAAAAGAATGAGAAGAAAATGGAAAGACCTCAACTAAAGCTTTCAGCAAACCTCTATGTCGATCAGTAACAAACGCAATATCCCTCATCAGAGTCAAAATAACAAATAATTTTGACAAGAACCAATGTCAATAGTCATAACTTTCACTATCAACAATGGCAAAACATAACAGATATAAACCTACAAATAAAATATATACACTTTATCAATAACAAATAAAAAAGATTAAAAAACAAAACAAAAATGCAAAGTAGATAAATTTATCACTGTATAAATATAAAAATTTAAAAAAAGTATATAGCATACTCACCTAACCAATGATAAATGTATCACTAATAGATTGACCATACTCAATAATCCACACTCTCCAGTAACAAAAATGATAAAATTATCACTATTTTAATAATAATAATAAGAAATAGACATAGAATATACCTTAGTTACCGTTTTTTGCCGTAGTAGCCAATAGACAACCTTTGTGTCTTCCTTTCAAGAAAGTTAAATCAAGCATCAACATAGGCCGACAATACTTGAAACTATGAATACATGCCTCAAAAGCGAAAAACAAGCATTTGAAATGTCTTCCTTTACTACCAACATCAAATTCCATATCAAAAACACTCCTCGGATTAGCATTATTAGCGGCATCAACATACCAACGAAGATCGTCAAATGATGATGAATAGTCACCAAAAGCAACACCCCTTGCTTTTTCAACACCCATCCAAGCTCGTTGATAAGAAACTTCTATTCCATAATAATCCTTGAAATCATAAACCACCTCACTAACTGATGTCAAAGCCTTATTACGAACCTCATTTGAAATTAGCTCACCAATTATACTCGAAGTCCTCTTAACATGTTTAACTTTACAAAAAGAAGATTCGCACGTATGAACACCATCAAATTGTTTAAAGCTTTAGTAAAATGTTCCACTCTAGCATGCACAAAAACATCCCAAATCAGCAATTCTCTTACAATGAACAGTGGCACGATCCTTATCATTCTTAACAAAATCAAAATCAAAACCGGAATGAATAGAATACTTTGACAACGCATCTCGAAATTCAACAACTTCTTGAGCAAACCTTTGTCCCGCTCCTTTCATACCATTAACCCACTCATCAGAGAGCAAAGGTTTCCGTTGATTTGAATAAAGTGAAGGCAAAAATCAGTTTCACAAACAACACTACTACTACTACTACTACTACTATGAGGCAAGAAGAGGAGGAGAAAATGTTTGTTTGATCAATACGTGGAGTGTATACAAGGTTCAAGAGATAGTGGTCCACTAAGTGGCGGAACGGTAATTAACTCAAACTATGCGATTAATCGATATTTAATCTAATTTAATCATACCTAATCAATTTTCAGATAATTATACTATAAAATCACATTAATTCTAAGGATCATAGAACACTAATCGGTTTCGGATTCGGCTGCCGATAAGGCCTTCAATTAGCAATTTAAACATATGAACATGAACAGATAACCATACTGTCAACAGATAAAATGCAATTAACTAACATGTACTCAGTCAATTCGATTTTCAATTTCAGTCAGTCAGTTCAGTACTTATAATCAGTTCAATTATCAGTCATAATCAATTCAGTTTAACGATAATCAGTGGTTATTTGGTAAACAGTGACGAGGGTTGTTACACTCACCTAACCAATGATAAATGTATCACTAATAGATTGACCATACTCAATAATCTACACTCTCCAGTAACAAAAATGATAACATTATCACTATTTTAATAATAATAATAAGAAATAGACATAGAATATACCTTAGTTACCGTTTTTTGCCGTAGTAGCCAATAGACAACTTTTGTGTCTTCCTTTCAAGAAAGTTAAATCAAGCATCAACATAGGCTGACAATACTTGAAACTATAAATACATGCCTCAAAAGCGAAAAACAAGCATTTGAAATATCTTCCTTTACTACCAACATCAAATTCCATATCAAAAACACTCCCCGGATTAGCATTATTAGCGGCATCAACATACCAACGAAGATCGTCAAATGATGATGAATAGTCACCAAAAACAACACCCCTTGCTTTTTCAACACCCATCCAAGCTCGCTGATAAGAAACTTCTATTCCATAATAATCCTTGAAATCATAAACCACCTCACTAACTAATGTCAAAGCCTTATTACGAACCTCATTTGAAATTAGCTCACCAATTATACTCGAAGTCATCTTAACATGTTTAACTTTACAAAAAGAAGATCCGCACGTATGAACACCATTAAATTGTTTAAAGCTTTAGCAAAATGTTCCACTCTAGCATGCACAAAAACATCCCAAATCAGCAATTCTCTTACAATGAACAGTGGCACGATCCTTATCATTCTTAACAAAATCAAAATCAAAACCGGAATGAATAGAATACTTTGACAACGCATCTCGAAATTCAACAACTTCTTGAGCAAACCTTTGTCCTGCTCCTTTCATACCATTAACCCACTCATCAGAGAGCAAAGGTTTCCGTTGATTTGAATAAAGTGAAGGCAAAAATCAGTTTCACAAACAACACTACTACTACTACTACTACTACTAACTTCGCCATCACAAATCATATAACATTCACCCAAAGAACAACACCTAACAAAAACATCGATGCGATGAATATCACAAGAAAGTGCGAGTCTAACCATAACCTCCAAATCCTCTTCACTTTGTAGATCACAACAAGAATGTCCAAGCATTGAATACAATATATTCAAAGAACTACCAACTAACTCACTCCACTTTGCACACAATTTATATACTAAATCCTTGAAATTAAATCCATCATTATACTTAATAACCAATGTCACACCTCTAAACTTGCACATAAGAAACAAAGAATTCTTCATCACTATAAATCCTGCAACAAACAACAATTATATTTCAGCAAACAACTCAAACAACCTAAAACAAAATCTAATATAGTGATAAAATTATGAACCAACTCAAACACATCCAAAAACCAACAGTGATAAATTTAACAATTAATACTACTAAAAGACCAAGAGAATGGAATAGTGAATAAGGCTTACACTTATTAGACATGGTAACTTGATTTGAATCTAACCATTACATTATGCAACTTTTTCATCTCCTATTCCCATACTCAGTGATAAATTTATCACTGTTGAAAAAAATTAATCCAATAACACCCCCAAAATACTTAGTGATAAAATTATCACGATAGAAAATAACAAATTGAGAGGGTAATTTATATGAAAATTGGGCCGAACTAGGTAATGGGCCGTTATGGGCCACAGTGCGAAGGGCTGAGTAAAAAGGCCATGAAGTTACTCCGGCCCAAAAGAGGTGTAAAGTTACTCCGGTCCGCGAGAGACCTGAAGTTACTCCGGTCCCAAAGAGCTTACGGTAAGTTCGGTCGTCGCTCATAAAGTTATCCCGGTTTGGACCGGAGTATTGGTTATTCCAGTCTAGACATACCGTGGTTAGCATTAAGAAGAGCCAAGGTAAGAGCAGTGAATGGAAGAGCTGAGCCAATGTTATCTCGGTCTAGTCTGCGGCTTAGCATAGCCATGCTTACCTCGGTCGTGTTGAAGTCTGACCATGGTAGAACCATCTCACTTGGTTTATGCAGTGAGGGGGGTGTTAAAGGATAAGCATTATCTTTCAGGAGTATGAATCCTAGGAGACTCTACATGGAGGAGTAAAAGTCCTACTAGGATTGTGTCACGCGGAACCTATAAAAGCTCACAACATCACATATAGAGTGGTAACACAACTTTGATTCTCAAATACACAGAGCTTTTTGTCTTTGTCTATTCTGCTGACTTAGGCATCAGAGAGGTATCCGGCACACACCCGCTGGCTAGCTCACGTTTGTGTTTTCAGGGAATAAAGCGACGACGTACGGAGGAGCGCAGACTTTGTCAACAGGATTATACGGGAAGAATATTTCGTGCCCGTACACAAACCAATACCCGTGTTCAACCAAAACAATTTTGTAACAAAAAAAAAAAAATCTAATATTCATTACATATACATATTTCAAAGCTTTCAATATCATGATCAAAATACAAATTCAATCGCAGAAACAATAGAATAACAACAATATCACAAATAAAATCAAAATCACCAACTCAAACTAAAAAACACCAAAACATCAAAATTAAAATCAAAATCAAACATACCAGTCGAGCTCCCTCCACAAAATCGCAAATCACAAAATCTAACTATACACCAAATGTGAAATCGCAAAACACGAAGATTCATAAATTTACAAAGGCAAATCACAAATCGAGCTCCCTCTACGAGATCGCAAATTGCAAAATCCAAATATACACCAAGCACGAAATTGCAAATCACGAAGCTCCACAATAATGCATTAACAAATCGCGAAGTTCCACAGAAATTCAAATCATAAACCCAAACTCACAATCACAAACCTAAACCCAAACCCAAACCCAAACTCACATCACAGTATTTTGATGGCAAAAATCAAACAGAAACGCGCCAAAACAAGGGGAAAACAAAACAGGAGTAAAATGGTAACAAAAAAAGAAAAGAAAAAGGCTGCAGGACCTGTTGCTGCACAAGAGCAATATTTAGGACTAAGAGGGGAATAACTATAAAAAGTAGGACCGGCCAGTAAAAAAACCCAAAACAAAATTGATCATTGCAGCCTAGAAAGAAAGAGAGAATATATGGGCTCCATTTGGTTTAGTTTTTTTAAATGAATTTTGAGTTTTGAGTTATATTTTGAAAGCTAAATTGTTGGAAAGAATTTTAAAAGTTAAAAACTTGTTTAGTTATGAGTTTTGAAAATAGTTTTGGAATGATTTGTAATTTTTTTTAAAAAAAAAAATTGAATGGATGGTGTGAGAGAAAATTTAATTGATTGATGTATAGAATGTGAGATAATGAGAGAAGCGAGAGGAGACAAAAAAAAAAAAAAAAAGCAATTGATTGATTTCTAAATTCTCTAACATTGCAGCCTAGCAAAAGTGTTTTTTTTTTTTTAATTTAAAAAGAAATACTAAAGACGAAAAAAAAAAACTTAACAAAATATCGTCTCAAAATTTGTCACTAACATTTTTTTGGGGGTAAATGATAAATACACATTATGATATTTGTTTAAAATACTGATTATTTTCTATAGTTATGAGAATTACAAATACATTATTATCAAAAAAATTATTTAACAGAATTAACAAAAAGAAAAAAAAAATCTTAACTACTCTCCTATCATATCATATATATATTATTAAAAGTAGTGTTTTTTCCATCCTTAGGTGACAGATTATAAGGGTTTACTTTTTTCTAGAGAGCCACGTCAGTATGTATTTTCTTAATTGTAGAGTTCTACACAAACATAAACCTAATTTAAATTATACTAACTTTACCTATTTTATATGGACTCTATTTTACAAATATTTATTTTTCGTATATTTTTCATTGTAAATTGAGATAATTCACAGACTTAATACAAATTTTGCATTTTACGTTTTTCTTATTAATTCTTTCAAGGATATTAGGATTTTTGCTTAATACTAGATTGCCATCTTTTTTTCTTTTTTATTTTTCCGTACATTATTCTATACCCAATATCAATTCTATATTATGGATTTGTCATTTATATTTTATATTGATTCTATATATGAAATTATAATTTATTTTCTACATTATTTTATATAATCAAACTCATAGCAGAAAAAACCTACATAACAATGATACTCTCAAGGAACTTCTAAAGTTTAGATTTATTGCTTGAGTTATTTTTTCAATTGTTAAATAGTAAGTTATTTCATGTTTGGACATCATATTACAGATGATTAATCACTTCACACAGTAAGATATACCTATCATTTCAATATTTTCATAATTTTTTCGTTTTTAGGTTTAGATATTGTTATGTGATTCTTTTTTGATTAGTCATTGTTGAATTTTTTTTTATATAATCGATATTTTAATTTAATTAAGAGGGTTTATTTTACAATTTTATAATTTGAAAATTAAATTGTTGGAATTACTTTTAATTTTATGTTACTAATTCTTCTTCTAATTTAACTATTATTTTTAATATCGAAATGAATATTTATTTTATTATTTTATAATTCAATATATATCATACAAGATTATTATATAATAATTATATTTTTATAGTACGATAAAACTAAAATTATTAAAATACACAAATAATTTAACTAAAATTAATAAATATATAAATATTCAAATAATAGTTTTATAGAACAATAGTGCCAATATTATCAAAATAAATAATTACAATTTTATTTTAATTTTAATATTAAATTAAAATTAAAATTAATATTAAAATTATTATTTTATAATACACATTGTACCATCAAATATTTTTTTCAAAAAAAAAAAATAGCATGTACATTGCACGGGTCAACTATTAGTGTAACAATAAAATTATTAACTTTGTTAATTGAAATATATTTCTAATATTATTAAAAATTATTCATTAATTTAATGATTTATTAATAAATATAGTCATTTATTATGTAATTAGAAAATTTAAGAGGCTATAACATAATTTTCAAAATCATTTTTAGACAAATTTTATAAGTTGAACCCACTCAAATAAATATATATATATATATTTGGTTTGATAATTTTGGTTCTATTATTTTTTTTGATATGTATTTGGGAACATGGTTAAAAATCAATTTTTGATTTTTAATCTATTTTGGGTTACATTATCTTTTTATTTTATTTTTTTACATTTTTTAAAAAAAAAGTCAAAAAAAATTAAAAAATTGACTTTTAACTAACTTTCCAAAAAATCGATACTTCCCCTCGTAGAGATATATACAAGGAATAGCTGTTGTTTATTGTTTTTATTTTTATTGGTCCTTTAGAATTTAAATAAAGTTTTGCATAAACAAGAGAGGCTATATCCTTTCCTACACGAGTAATTATTTGGTAATGTAAGAATAATATTTCTCACCATTCAACACATGACACTTGTCATACTGTCTCCCAAAGTTAACAGGCTAGCACCTATTTTGAGAAGTAGATTAAAAGTTAATTTTTTTTTATTATTTTTTGATTTTTTTTTAAAAAAATATACAGCTAATGTGACAAAAAAACTAAAAAGTAAATTTTTTTTTTTAAAAAATATACAGCTGATGTGACAAAAAAACTAAAAAGTAAAAAAATTGAATTTTAATCTTGTTGTCAAAATAAGCCTACATCAAATTTTCTCAAGA